ACAAGACACTGATAGAATTGTGTCGTTTTTGTGCTAGTTCAGTGTCTATGATACAATATAATTAGGGGCGGGGGAAAGCATTAAACCAATAATGATCTAATACTCTGTTTTAGAAGATAAATGACAAAATAATTATCTTTTTTTCATTGTCCTTTATCTGTTATTCAACAATTGTCGTTGATGAGGTTTGAAATTAGAATCAACGTTAATTGAATAAATGAGTATCACTAGACTAAATCATCGTTGACATAGTTATAATCTATCTATTGTACCAATAATTTATTTTCCTTTTTTCTTTTTAGTACTTTGGGATGAGATTATGTCAAACAAAGTAAGGCAAATATTCAGTCATATTCATATTTGTTAGAAATGCTCATATTTTTATTATTCTCTAATGTGAAGGTATTTATAAAGAAGTACAAAAATGTATTAACCTTAAATAACATATGAAATAAATCCAAACTACTATAGGAAATAAATCTCAATTACAATAGGACTAAATAAATTGGCAAGTAACAAAAAAACCTAACTAAGTAAGGCATTAAAATCCTAACTAAGTAAGGACTTGCTAACAGATTCAACGATAGAAATTTGACCATGTAGGGAATGAAACATTCAGTAACTTATCTATTGTATTTAAACCTTTTTTATAATAATAATAAGCGATCCTTGGGAGATGGTATCAAAATATGAAACTAGTAAGATAATATTGTTTGTGGGAATTTTCTGTGTATTCTTGGTTGTATTTATAATACAATAATTCCTTGTTGGTCAATAAAAGTAATAAATCTTAATTCTATTTACAGTAGAAAATCAGAAATTAAAGTAAATCAATTATATTTAATCAAGGAATCCTTGGAATATAAGGAAAGTAATCATGGGTCCATTAGTCATGCCAACAGATGGGTGGTGCTCAAGGTCTTTTCTCTTGCTCACGGCTAAGAGGATATGTCACCTAGTTAGACCGACGATCAAACCTATATATGTAGAGATACGCCTAAACCTCTAAGACATGGTCCGATTTTTATGCTTGTTCATCCTTCTTCATCAATAAAATACCATCCGAGTGAAACCTCTCTCTCTCTAATTGTCACCAACGCGTGGTCATCATTCAGTTGAAGAATTTAGTCATCCGATGAATAATAATGGTCATTGACTCATTGTCAATCCCCCAAACGTAACGTTGGGATCCAATACAAAACGCAAAACGCCATAAAAATTAACTGTAAATCAGCGTGCATACGTAAATCTATATCTGGATAGATAGAAAACAGGGATGCTTTGCTGCCCACCGTCGCCATCATCATCATATCACCATGCAATTTAATACATAAACAGTCGAATATGATCCCTACTCTTAACTGCTCAATTAAGAAAACGCGCTTGTACACTTTGCCATGCTTTTGTTTCTCTCTCTCTCTCTCCTCTCTTTTGGCGTTTCTTTGTTGTTCCTCCCTTTCCTTTTTCCTTTTTTTTTTTTTTTTTTTTTTTTTTTTTTCTTTTTTTTCAAAAGAAAATCTTTCTCTTTCCTTTTTTTCAAAAGAAAATCACTGTACCAAAACCCCACCCACCTCTTTCTTTCTAATGGCTCTCTCTCAAAAAACCATGCTCCTAATATCTCTCTTCTTCCTCATCTCTCCTTCTCTTTCAGCCAAAGAGAACAAGTACCTGAGCAACACCACTTTTAATTATTTTCCTTGTTCCCTCTCACTACTTCTCAACTTTCTCTCTCTCCAAACACATCCAAACCTCTCCATCATGCCTCTCTCATTTCAAACTCCAAGCGAATCCCAAGACTCATATCGTACAACCACAAGCTCTCCTTCAAGTATTCAATGGCTCCGATTGTTTCTCTCCCCATAGGCACTCCTCCACAGACCCAGCAGATGGTTTTGGACACTGGCAGCCAGCTCTCATGGATTCAGTGCCACAAGAAGACCCAGTCAAAGCCCCCACCTCCTCCGATGGCGTCGTTTGACCCTTCTCTCTCCTCTACTTTCTCTGTCTTGCCTTGTACTCACCCTATTTGCAAACCTCGAGTTCCCGATTTTACCCTCCCGACCTCTTGCGACCAAAACAAACTCTGCCACTACTCCTACTTCTATGCTGATGGTACTTTGGCCGAGGGCAATCTCGTCCGAGAAAAATTTACTTTTTCTCCTTCCGTAAGTACCCCTCCCTTGATCCTTGGATGCGCTAAGGACACCAGTGATAGCGAAGGTATTTTGGGTATGAACCGCGGGCGGGTTTCATTTGCTTCCGAAGCCAAAATCACAAAGTTTTCTTACTGCATCCCCGCCCGCCCGGCTCAAACCGGGTCTAATCTGCCAACCGGGACTTTTTACTTGGGAAACAACCCGAATTCCGCGGGATTCCGATACGTGGACATGTTGACTTTTGATCCAAGTCAACGCATGCCCAATTTGGACCCCCTGGCCTATACAGTTGTAATGTTGGGGATAAGAATTGGCGGGAAAAAGTTAAGTATTTTACCCTCTGTTTTCCGGCACGACCCAAGCGGGGCGGGTCAGACCATGATCGATTCCGGCTCCGAGTTCACGTACTTTGTGGACGAGGCTTATACTAAGGTGAGGGAAGAGATTGTGAGACTGGTGGGACCGAGGTTAAAAAAGGGCTACGTGTACTCGGGGGTAGCCGACATGTGTTTCGACGGTCATGACGTGGAGATCGGACGGCTGATAGGAGATATGGTGTTTGAGTTTGAAAAAGGAGCGGAGATTGTGACGCCCAAAGAACAAATTTTAGCTGATGTCGGTGGTGGGGTCCGCTGCGTGGCAATCGGGCAATCCAGCAAGCTTGGTGCGGCGAGTAATATAATTGGGAATTTTCATCAGCAGAATCAATGGGTGGAATTTGATCTGAGTAATCGCAGAGTTGGGTTCGGTAGAGCCGACTGTAGCAGATCAGTGTGAGTCAATACAGCTAGCTGTTGAAGCTGCAAAAAGTCTTATTAAACGCAAGAGGACAAAAAGGTCATTTTCGTGATAATAGAAGGGTCTAAGTGATATGAACTAGTTTGGCATGGCCCATGCAATTAGTGGTATCAATTTAACTTCCCTGGTATAGAAAGTACTGTATAATGATGTGATATATGTTGAGATTTATATATATATATATATATATATATATATACGAGGATGTGAAATATAATATCACTTTGTCAAAATCATCCTCTCTTTCCTAGTTTATTTACTCAAACCCTCACTCACCACTTGACCTAACCTCGATGCTACAAAATTGTTTTGAATCTATGGATAATTAAGACGAAGAAATATCTGTGTAGTATGTGTGAATTTAGTTTGTTATCGTCTCTTTTAATGAAAAAGACCTTACAAAAAAATTTTATATAAAAAGATTCTTCGTTCCATTCATGCCACCCAATTTCAAACATCACCCATGTCCTAAGTGGCATGGTAAAACAAAAACAAAACAAAAATCTCTGTAATTTGTAAAGCCCTTGTGTATCTTTCTTTGATGACAAAAATCAGGTGAGCTAGTGTGTATAAACATCGAACACAGATAAAGAAGACATAAAAGGAGAGGAAACTGTGGGCTCCACCCAAGTTGGATTCGTGCAATGAAAGAGACGACGGCTTCTGCCGACTCTACCTGCTCCTCCTTCTACATATATTCCCGACACGCACATGATTGACATTTTCTTCTTATCTTATTAATCATACTTTTGCTCTTTGATTAAATATTTTATTAACATTACTTTTGAAAAAAAATATTAAGGGCATTGTTCTTCTTCTTCTTCTTCTTACCTTTTTACCTGGTCACGTGGAACTTGCAAAATAAGTGTTCCATCGTTTGAAAGACATGATTGGGCATCTCAACTTCTCCCTTCATGATGAAGATGATGTGTGCGCTCTATTGATGATTGATGTGTAGTTTGTATGTACATGTGGCCAAAGGTCAGCCTAAAGCATCTCTCTCTCTCTCTCTCTCTCATTTTCATGTCATGGATAAAGTTGCAGTGAATGAGACTAATTTAATTTTATAAAAAAAATTTGATCCAACACTTGTCAATCCTGTGCTTAATTTAATTGGATCTCAATGTGCAAAGTATTTGATGAGGAAAACGTGATGGGGATCAAGACAAGGCCATATGATGGACGGTGAAAGTAACTTAATAAAGCAAAACCCTATTGTTAGGCTTTTAAAGAAAAAATTACTGCTCTCTCTCTCTCTCTCTCTCTCTCTCTCTATATGTACATATATATATGCTAGCTCTCGTGAAATTTGTGAATAATCATCATCCAGTCTTCTTGTGCCATTACATTGACTAAGTATTAACTTCATCGATCATATGGAGGAGATGATAACATTGACATAAAGCAATCTATCTTCCAGTGCTTTCCTCTGCTTCCATTTTCTAAAGCCATCAATCATATGAGTATTGGTGTTGATGCGAAAAAGTGGTTCGGTGCTTTTAAACTCAACTTAGTGGCGTTTGGGCCTTCGGAATGCTCTGGACCTCAATAGGAGCGCCTGATCTGCAAGATAAGAAACACTCGATAAGACCTAGAGCATTGATGTAGTACTGGCCGAAGGCTCTCCGATACTTAAGTAAGGATTTAGTAAATAATCTGGATAGAGCGATGGCTAGTATACCGAAAGTTCTAGTTACCTCCATTTTGGGACTTGTGTCCATTTTATAAGCATTGGGAGGCGTGCATGTGGTGTAGAATTTCGATGTGAGACTATTGGCATTTACTATGGATGCTCCACGTGTCCAGAGAGTGATCTTGCCCTAATCACGCAATCGGTAGGCCTGGGTGCTGTGATGCTCTCTTTTGTCCACGTGTCTTGCTCTTATTGGCTGTTGATTCTGGTGTAAACAATTGGAAATTTATATTGCAATATACTAATGCAATTTATAAGAAAGTTATAAAATTCTAGCTCCTTAAAACACGATGATTAAGATTTATTAGTTAGAAGTTACAAATACCCCACAATAATAAAGAAAATTTTATCCTTGTTTGAAGAAATGTTCTACATTAGAAAGTTGAGAAATCCAATAAGCGCTTATAAGGAGTTGAATTACTTCTCCATTCTCAATTGGTTTTGAGGTGAGACCTCAACTTCCTTCATGATATCACAGACAGGTTTTTGTCCACATGTAAAGTCTAACAGCAACACTTACTCTCCACATACATGTTCTACACGTGTTAACCCAACAATTATGAACTCAAGACAGAGGTGGCAGCTTGCTACTTCAAAAAACTCGGATCCTGTTTTTGTGGGGCTTGCCTTTGTAATGCTACGTGCTCCATCAACCCGCAAGCGGTCCCCTCACTGTAGAGCATTTGTCTGCCATCGATTATCTCCTGTTTTCTATTCTTTTGCATCGGATTGTCGTCATCTAAAAACCCTAATAATTTGAAGTATAAGACATTGCATATACGTATCGGGTTGTGTGCCCATGAGGGTTACATTACAACTTACAATGCTTTGCTTTGGAGATTGTCCCATTTTTATTGGAATTAATTCTGCTTCGAATAGCTTGTACTTTTATCGAAGTTATGGCTAGCTAGAAATGTTGACCTAGTCCTTCAACTCCTTTTCTTTATCTTTATTTTTTGGGGCACCATCATTGTCGATGGCATGGGTGCAATTGGTACTCTTTGAGCTGAGGATGGATTTGTGCCTCTAATGTTTTGGGAAGAATATTCATAATAAACTAGATACAAGGATTATTATGCTTCTGCCCTATTTTAACTAAATAATATACTACTATATTTGTCTCCCGGTATACGTGAGTAATAGCGACACCGGAATTTTATTTCCAGCAACTCCCAAGTGTAGGTGTTGATGCCTTGTTTTTGAAATATTTGGTAGACAAAATCCCGAGTGAAGTGAATTTGATAAAGTTGAACCACGTTTTCAACATTGGATGACCGGAGTCGGCTTCCAAGGGAAAAAGATGCAGCATCATCTTCTCATGATCATCAAAGTATGGAATATATTATGATTGCATTTTGATTTTTCCAGAGAAGAGAGAAACAACAGCTGGCCAAAAGAGTTAGCTGCCAA